TGAGTGTTCAACAGCAGAAATAACTCCTTCGGCTACCAGCCGATCAATTTCTGCCTCCAGTTCCGATGCTGTGGCGTATGGAACTGGTCTCTTCTTTTTGAAAACTGGGACAGCATCCTTCTTCAAGACTAACCTGGCCTTGCTCTTTTTACATTTCCCTAGTTCGCTCTTGAAGACATCCGGATACTTGTTCTTCAAGTCGGCGACAACTTCGGCTCGAATTGCTTCTTCGTTAGTCACCTTCCTGCAGTTGTACTTGGTCTTCAAATTCTTGTAAGCTGGCAATTGGATGCACCATTCCAATCCCAGGAGATTCGAGCCTTCGGTGACATAGCAAGTTCCTGTTCCATGGACCATCCGTCCTGTAACTCGATCCTTGACTTTGAAATCAGTCAAAAATTTACCATCGATCTGCATTGGTGTCCCATCTGCAGTTTTGACAGGCATCACGCACGGTTCCAAGACTGGAGATCCTATCCTCTTCCAGGCTTTACGGGATATCAGCGTTATATCCGCACCAGTGTCCAACTGAAGCTTGAGAGGACATCCTTTGACCACAACGTCAAGGTAGGTGCGGGCATTCTCGGCGTCGAAAGCGATCACGTTCTTGCATTGTCTTCTTCGACCATAGGGCTGAGTCGCTGCCTTCCGTCGCTTCCTTCGGCCCGCTCTAGGTAGTTGTGGACAGTCCCTGCTAAAATGCGGACCTCCACATCTGAAACAGTCTACCTTTTTCTTCCACACCGCATGAACATCCCGGGTGCCTTCCATATCCGTATTGTCCATCTTCGACGCGGTGTAGTTCTCGCATTCGCTGACCAAGTCCTCGATTGTCAGCGGTGTTTCGTCCGTATGTGCATCCAATCTGCGAATCATCCTGAGGCGGACGTCTCGAGTGACGGGTCTTGAAGACCGGCTACAAATTGTAGCGTCTTCATTCCAGTATAGTCGAGCTCCTTGAGTCGAGCGTCCTCATCCATCCGCTTGATTGTGTTGGCGTAATCTCGGAAGGGTACACACGTCGGCGTAAGCGGTGGGCAGGTGACGCGGAGGCACTCGAACCTTCTTCTTATCAGCGTCTTCTTGGATGCGAACAGCTTCTGAAGTTTTTCGATAGTTGTGTTAAAATCCAAGTCGTGTGGCTTTGCAGGCAGGACTTCATCTGCATACTTCCGGTATGCTTCTTCGTCCAGCTTCATGAGGACCAGGTCACGCTTCTTGTTGTCTGGCAACAAGGACTAGCTTATGACCGGTCCGTACCTGCTGTACTAGTAGGCAAAGGTATTACCTGTGTCTTCATCGGAGACGAACCTTTGCACATCCTTGCTCAGCTGATCGTATTGATCCTTGCTGGCATCGTGTACGGCTACACTCTGGTTGTTGGCCAGAGTAGCGATTAGCATCCGCATTTGTTCCTGTTGGGCTTGCATCTGGATCCGAACTTCTTCTTGTTGAAGCCGCATCTGCTCCATCATGACGTTGAGGACCTTCTCCAGATCCGCCGCATGCCGCTCTTCTGCAACCTTCGGCATGGCTCCGCTGCAACGACGAGATTTCTTCCCTCTCGTCGATCGATACCAGCTCTCAAATACAACTTATCTTGAAAAGTTGTCCCTGAAGTCGACTGAAGGCTTCTTATTCTCCTTGGTCGGCGCTGGAGCTTCTTCTCGTCCTCGGTTGGTGGTGGAGTTCTTCTTGTCCTTGATCCTGATCGCCAGTTGATGTGGAACGCGTTGAGCCGTTGACAATTTATTAGAAAAACACGAGAGTTCCCCCTCTGCCTATCGGCGTACATGCCGAGGGTTCACTAGGAATAACTAGAGAACAACACACACAAATATATCAAGGTGCGGCGGGTACGCCGCAACCACAGAGACCATATCGACCTAGCCTACAGTGAGTGAGCAAGTTCCAATATAAGGGACGGCTCTACAACAGTTTGTTTAACGTAATGAATAAAGGTTTTGTAGAGCAGAATCAACTTTTTCGAATAGTACAGATAGTTTATCGTAAAGCAACCGCTTCACCAGAAAACAGCGACAAAGATAAAAACGCTACAAACTCATGGAACGACCAATAATATGACAGCATATTGGTGTTTTGACGCGGGGAGGGATTATGAAAGGTACTTTTGGACGATAAGACTAAAATCTAAGCTGATGTCATATTTTCCTTTAGCAAGACATCATCTATATCTTACAAGAGAAGTCACTTAACTCAGGTCGGGTTTTTGAAATGAGACACATATGGTTGGAATCAGCTTGAAACGCTGATTTCAAATCTGCTTTCCTTAGCTGCGAACCATTCTTCTGAAGCGAGTTATGAGCTTTTTCGTGAGCAAATTTTGCGTGTTGACCGACTTAGGCATGCTACGGTATCATCATCTAGGTAGTGGTTCAAATGCATATTATACCCTATCAAAGCCAAAATCAATTTGATGTTATTTTGATTTTCCACCACTTTTTGGGCAGATCTAAAGACCTTTCCATATTCAGTTGTATGTCAATGACACATACTAAAAAAGCTCATAACTCGCTTCAGAGAAACGCTTCGCAGCTAAGGATAGCATATTTGGAATCAGCGTTCCGAGCTGATTCTAAATATTAGGTCGTTTAAAAAGTAATTTCGCTTTTTTCAAAAGGGCACCACATGTGACGGAACAAAGCTTTTCAAAAGATCTTGGAGGCATTCGATGCAGAATTTCATTTTCTTTCTAATGGCTATGAAGTTTTGGCAAAACATTCAGTGAGCTTTCAGAAAATAACCAAAATTTGCGACCCATGCTTTTTGAGATGGTCAAGTTTCACGATTTTTTAGAACTTTCATATCAATCCACAGAAGGAGCTCAAGTAAACATTCGATAGAGTAAACCTTATAGGATACAGCACTGCTTTTTTTTCCTTTCCATAGCTTGCCATAGATTTTTAACAGAATTTTAACTGATGCTACCGATATCCATACTTGGGCAGCTAAATCCTCGTAGAACATCAAAAGAAGAGCACCTCGCGCACTATTCGATGCAGCATTTTCTCCTCTTTTTAACAGGTGTTTTTTGTTTCCGATTCGCTTAGTTTCTGGGGATAAAATCATCGTAACTCACTTTTTTAGCGAGCCCCAGGCTGTACCCGAGAAACTCGAAATTTGATATTTCGAACCCATAAACCCTCACTTGCTTTGTAAAATTAATGCTAACTCATAGTACCATCTTGGTAGTCTCAAATTCCGAAAAATTATGATGTTTGATGCGATTGTGGCTGAGGTGAGCCTGCCAAAATCCGATGGTTCTGTTAAAAAATCTTTTGAAAAATTACGGCGAAATACGAGAAAGAGAAAAAAGTAGTACTGTATCCTATAAGGTTTACTCTATCGAATGTTTACTTGAGCTCCTTCTGTGGATTGATATGAAAGTTCTAAAAAATCGTGAAACTTGACCATCTCAAAAAGCATGGGTCGCAAATTTTGGTTATTTTCTGAAAGCTCACTGAATGTTTTGCCAAAACTTCATAGCCATTAGAAAGAAAATGAAATTCTGCATCGAATGCCTCCAAGATCTTTTGAAAAGCTTTGTTCCGTCACATGTGGTGCCCTTTTGAAAAAAGCGAAATTACTTTTTAAACGACCTAATATTTAGAATCAGCTCGGAACGCTGATTCCAAATATGCTATCCTTAGCTGCGAAGCGTTTCTCTGAAGCGAGTTATGAGCTTTTTTAGTATGTGTCATTGACATACAACTGAATATGGAAAGGTCTTTAGATCTGCCCAAAAAGTGGTGGAAAATCAAAATAACATCAAATTGATTTTGGCTTTGATAGGGTATAATATGCATTTGAACCACTACCTAAATGATGATACCGTAGCATGCCTAAGTCGGTCAACACGCAAAATTTGCTCACGAAAAAGCTCATAACTCGCTTCAGAAGAACGCTTCGCTAAGGAAAGCAGATTTGAAATCAGCGTTTCAAGCTGATTCCAACCATATGTGTCTCATTTCAAAAGCCCGACCTAAGTTAAGTGACTTCCCTTGTTAGAAACTGAAGCTCTAGGTTTGATCTTCATATTAGTTTCTCCATCCTCATCTCGTATTGGAGTGGCTAGGAACTTGTGCCATTATTCAAGCAGAGTCAAAATATACCATTTTGAAAAGAATCCACTCACTGCTCATGGCGAAGTGAATAAATACAAGGCAAGAACAATGAATGTCTTTCTAGGCATCAAAATTCTTAGAGGTTCAGTGTTTTGATTACATCCTCGACCACCTCTGCAAACAGCTGGAGCTCGGTGTAAGGAAAAATTGCTTCTATCTATTCCATCTATTATTCTTTTCGGGAAAATGCGGCTAGACAACCCATCACCGGACCTGTCGCTATTTTTTCCATTCGTGTTTCCAACTGAATCCACCCTGAAGACTTATCCAGTCTTGTACGTGATTTACGGCATCGATGGCATATTGCTTATTTTCTCCACCGCGGTATTGATTGGAAGCTGTCGTTTGTTGTCGAAATCCTATTTGTTTCATCGTAATCTTATATACGTCACTCAGGTCAGTATATCTACTTTCCAAACCACTTAGTACACAGAAAAAAAGAGCATTTCATACACGTGGAAGTGAAGAAAGTTTTTTATGATTTGCTAAAATAGCCACTCTCTGTATGGTAGTGGTGACAGCCTGTGTTATGCAGTTTCAAAAACTATTCGTATCGCAGAAAATTTGTAACTGCACAGCTCTTGCGCAGTTTTGAATCTGTGCTAAAACCGCAATTTTCCCCAACTTGAGCATAAGAGAGGCTTCCTCACGAGGGAAAGGGGAGGGGAGATGAAGAGTTTGATAGGCAAGCCCGGGCAAGAGAGGCACTTTTTGCGGCGGTATGGCAAGCGATCGATTGTGCGAATGGCGAATACCAACTCAAATGGGGATGTATGCACGAATGACTTCAATCAAATCAGTGTGTCTATCCTTGTGTTGGCTTTTCGCCCGATTTATCCATAACGGCAAGACTAGATGTGCGAGAAAGCGAAAATGAAAGCTGAATGGTTAGTTGCGGTTGATATAAATTATTTCTCACCAACTTTTTGTGAAGAATGAATGAGTGGACTACGCACATGCTGAAATATGGTTTGATAGGAGCAAAGCTTTGCAAGCATAAGTGAAATGCAGCTTTCTTAGCTGTCAGCTTTTCGTGATTGCTGGGTTATATTCCTTGAGTAGTATTCATCTTCAATTCCTTAGTTTCAGTTCCATTTGTGCAGCTTCTACTTCTCTTTGCTTGGCCACATTGTTACAATACTTTATACAATCGACATTTTTCATGCAGAAGGTAGATATTCATTTATTGTAACGATCAAACTTTCCACTGAGGATTCAGGCGATATTAGGTCTAACCATGGGCTTGTCGCTGCTTGTTTTATCACTGTGTGGTGCAGATGCAGTTCATTATCCGTTTTTCCTTCGGTATTGCTTGAAAGATATTACGCTTCTTATCATGTAACTGATTATGAGGCGAAGCCGAGAAAATGGGTAGCATCTTTGGTGATCACAGTATCTTGTATTCTCACGTCTGCAACCGCTACTCCGCTTATTTTCGGTTGGTTGTTCATTCTATATGAAGCATCATACAGTTATAGTGCTTTCATTGTGTCTAATGACTTGTTCTAAATTCAATCACACTTTTCATGTACGCTGACCATATACGCTCTGGCTGTCATATCCTTGATAACTTATGCGGTATGTTCAGTTATGTATATATCACTATATCGACGTGATAGAAAGCAATTGCGTCAAATTACCTCTCCTCTCTCTCGCTACCTGCTTAGCGCGCGTTTCCAACTTGCCGAGAACTTACGAGTCCTAAAGGTAAGACACTTGATAATTGGAATACGTAAGAACATGTACACTCTAGATTGTCATGTATTCGTCCATGGTATACAACATCTGGTTGATACCTCCTTGCATTGTAATATTCTTGACATATCTTCATTTCAAACCAACAAGTGCAGTAGGACAGATATGCTACGCAGCGTATGGACTTTTCTTGTCATTGTGAGTTGATCTCGAGTGAGTTCAAATTGTATAACCCAAAATCATTGCAGTTCAGTATCACTGCTACTTATATACACTGCGGTAAAAAGTGGAAGATTTACTTTCACATTATGCCCCAAAACTAGTGAACATCAGAATATCCGTGTGGTCGATAGGCATGGAAACGATGGAACGACTAGCATGTACTTCCAGCAACTTACTGCAGCTTGGTAGTATTTTGTTTATCGAAATTTTAGAAAATTGTTGAAATTGGTGAACCTAGTAGTGTCTGGGCAAGAAAGAATAGTTTCTGGGCAAGTGATCACAAGCAAATTGCTTACTGCAAATTCAGCAAATCTATTTTTATATGAAAGTATTATGCAGGGTGTTATTTGTTTGTTTCAGTTTTGTAACAAGTTTCCTTCATATCGATGCCCAATCAATAAACAGTTCGAGGTTTGAAGTCAAACATTTCAACATAGGAAGAAACAAGGTTGAAATTTGATTACGACTTTTTACGTCTCACATTGCACGATAATCGATATCACTCACTCATGTTTACTAGTATTTTTCCATTGAGCAGCGCAGAAACGCATAAGACCATTTTCTGAGATAAGCTGCTAGCTTTAAAAAAATATTTCATTTCAAACTCATTGATTTTGGATCCAACTGCATACGCTTTACATGCCGGGAATAACTCCGAATGTCTTGATAAATTTTTGCTTATTGTGAACAAATGTCATGCAATTGTACTCTAATTATTCTTTGCAACTTGAAAAGTTACCATGCTCACAGGCTCACAATAAGGTCATTATACTCAAACTATGCGCGGCTTGTGCCTATAACCTGGACTTAGTTTTGCCGTATGTAAGCGCTCACGAAACAAGAAAACCTTTTTAGTGTAAATTTTTATGTTAAAGGTTGTCGAATTTTGAAAGTCAAGTCAACCTTTGTCAAATTTCCATTATTGTTAAATTAGAAGCCCGCTTCCGTAACCGAAACCATTTAGCTCTGCTCACTGTGCTAAGCTATACTATAAAATCGTCGGTGAGCTCGCTGAGGTAACACTGGCGAGCAATAACTTGGATGATGATAATGAAAATGAGATGAAAAAACAAACATTTTCGTTTTCAAAAACCAACATTTTCGTTTTCACGCTCAGTTTTTGATAAGGTGTCCACGCTGCTTCGAGGTTTTACGACCAGAAAAGCGTAAGTGCTAATACGACTTGCATTAAATCAGTGCCATTATGTGCTTGAGTTTATGCTTCTCAATGGTGATACCTTTCTTTTTAGACAAGGTGTACATGATTGTCTAAGTCACAATTTATCTGTGCGTAACATATCCAAATGGTCTGGGAGACATTGGTAGAGATGTGCGATAACCTGGAATTTGAATCAAAAAATGAAGGCTTTGGTATCAAGAGAGACCACACTGTCTTTCTTTATCGTGTGATCGCTTATTTTTGCAAACGGCAACCCTTTTCAAGCCGAGTAATCGAAGTCCAGTGTTTTGCGAATATCACAGGATAAAACACAAATTTATTATAGCCGGCTTAAAAAAGAGTCAATACCCATCACGCCTAAGCCAAGATCAATTCATGCTTGCTTTGTCTTTATGTCCTTTGGGGTTTTCTGCTTTTTACGGCACTTCTCTCTGATGAGATTTCCCAAGAACAAGCTAAAGAAACACAATATTCCTGACTTGTGGAATAGTCACGTACCATAATCTACTTCAGTAGTTCATTTTTAGTGTTTTTCCCTGTAAAACAACTATATTGGTCTGTTACTTACTTATTTATCCATTTGATAGATACACAAAATGCGTGCCATCATTCGCAATCTATGGACATGATCAGTAACATGAAAAACACAAAATCAGCTCAAGTCCAGCCTTTAGATAGTTTTTGAAAAAGGTATTAAGTTTGTTTAGATCAAGTATGAAATCATATCATTGGTGTTGGTGTAGAGGCACAATGGAGTCTGTCTCATGCCTCCTGCTTGCAGCAAAAGTGTCTTTGATTAGTCATTAAGCAATTGTTAATGGGGTAGCGGGTGTACATTCAAAAACGATTGTATACCTAGTTTGGTTTTCCCAACCTGGTGAAGTAGTGCCAGAACTTGTAAACTTCCAAGAATCTTGTTATACACGCATTTGCAAACACATAGTACTGGCACCGACGCCTACTGGCCTCGGTCAGCTTGGGCGGTTGTAATCAGGGCCCGTAGTAATCCCCCGTCGTGAGGGACGCGACGTCCGAAACATCGCACGTACCCAGTACGTGTCGTTTCGGCCGCGAGTCGTCGCGCGCCTATCTCTTATCATGGCCGCGCGGCGAAATCGCTGGACGTCGTGACTGCAGGACGTGCTCGTCCTCGTTCGCAGAGGACGAGCACGTCGTGAACGTCGTCACTTAAGGGGCAGAGAAATAAAAATAGTGGGCCTAGCGTGGAGACGCAGGAAGGCGCAACTGACTAAGGGTCGAGTACGCCGTGTTCGTCCTGTACGCAAGGACCGTAGACACACAGCACCATGTTCAATGCACGGCAAATGCGATCGATACCAACAGCTGATATGCGCCTAAAAGTCAACGCGCTGAGCGATTAAACTATTCTCTGTGTATTTCTGGCAGTGCTCTCAGACCCACTCCAGCTACGGAACTATCGATGTTGCATTTTGATGCATGCACAATAGAATGTGATGCTTTTTGATAGAACTCACCGCTCAGAACTCACCCAGGCACCCTTGTATAGGATCACTGATTGCTGTACTTAAACAGCTACTTATTGTTAGATCGGCGTTCTTGTCTTGCAAAGGCCAGCTTCAAATTCAATGCCTGTAGCGCGATGACAGTGCGCGCCGTCGACGATCATTGGAGGGTTCGATCGCGCGCACGTGCGCAAGTTTTGCGGCGCCCAAGAAGTGTTCGTGAGCAGCACGTCCTTCAGTCGGACACGTCGTGTCCTCGGTTTCTTCACATTATGAAATACAGGGTGTCCCAAAAGTATGTATGCACTGTTTGATCGTTAATATCTCTCTTCTCAAGAAGTCTTTTGCCTTGCTTCAGCTACCGTTTTGTAGAGCTGGCTTCAACTTAGATTTGCAGCATAGGACGAATCACCCATCTCTCTTCATTATTGTAGGATTACGGTAGAAACTTGAAACATATGGTGTCAATGTGGAAAAAGCTGCCGTTTCAAAAATTTTCAAGAAAAATGTGAAAACTTGTGTAAAAGGGTTTTTATGAACGCTGAGTTCAATACTCAACTATTCACAAGATTGCGAAGCTTTTTAAACGGTATAACCGCACTTTTTAGGAACATTGAAAAAAAAGGCCGCTACCTCTTACTTGGCATAACTCTTCAATGAAGCATCATAATAAGTTGGGAACTTTACAGTTAGAATCAACAACTCTAATTAGCCTAGTGTAAAAGTTTTCAGGCTGTTTTGTTTTCTTTCTGAGGCAAAATGGGCCTTTCATGGCTCAAAACCCTCTTTGAAGTTTGTACCGTAATCCTACAGTAATGAAAAGAGATGGGTGATTCGTTTTATACTGCAAATCTAAGTTGAAGCCAGCTCTACAAAACGGTACCTGATGCAAGGCAAAATACTCCTTGAGAAGAGAGATATTAACGATGAAACAGTGCATACATATTTTTGGGACACCCTGTATTTCGAAAGGTTTACTACGGGCCCAGGTTCGCGTACTTTATCGTAATTGAGTAGCCAGTAGTGGTGGTATAAAATTGTTCTTCTTCTAACCACTTCAGAAAATTCTTGAAGCATGAAATTGATATATTCCTATGCGATTACATTCCTTCATGACACGTTCTTGTGGACTCCTCCGATGATTTGGTCAGATAAGGGTCCATTCTGAAATTATTAGTGGCTTTGTTATCCCCTTCTCATTAGAGTTCATTTTAAACGATTAGTGAAATACACACACAACAAATGCTACCAATGTAAGCTGGAAGATTTTTTTTATCTTCAGTGTCCCGCTTATGCAGGGTTTGCTTTTCTTGTCAGATGTCTTCATATTATCCCATCTGAGGCAAGGTTTTCGTCTACACCAAGTTCTCGTAGGTCGGCCTGACTCTGTCCATCCACCTTATCTTGGGTCTACCTCTGGGTCTTTTGCCTGGTGCTTCCACAGGCAAGGCTAACTTCATGAAGTGACTATCATCCCTTCTGCGCACGTGCCCATGCCATCGTGGCCTCTTTTCCTGCATTTTCTGGGCAATTGGACCTACTTTCATTTGCGCTTGTATAGTGTCATTGCAGATGTGATCCTTCAGTGTGACTTCTAAGGTCCATCGTGGCATCCTTGTTTCCATGTCATTGAGCTTGCACTCCTTGTTCCGCGTACACGGCCAGCACTCACAGTCATACAATGCTGCTGGGCGGATAACGGTCCTGTACAGTTGGGACTTAAGTTGCACTGGCAATCTTCTGTGGCATAGAACTCCTGTTAAGGGTCTCCATTTCATCCACGCTGTGTTCATCCTGCCTGCGACCTCTTGTATGCCTCTCTCCGCTGAGATGTGACTGCCTAGGTACGCATGACGTTGTCTTCTTTAACTCTTCAACATTGATGCTTATGGTATCAGGAGTTTGTTTCCTCACTTCCATATATTCTGTCATCCTGGTGTTGGGCTTCAGGCCATACAACTTTAGCCTACACTAAAATCTCATAGATAAGAGCGGTTTAATTTACCCGTGAAAAATGAATTGGAATGAAATTGAAATTGAATGCAGTCACCCCTCTAACTTGATGGATGGATAAATAAAAATCGGAGAAGAAGTTTAGAAGAAGCTCCGCCCCTCAACTCTAAACCCCGCCCACTTAATAAACAATTCATATAGAAATTCCGAAATTCCGTAAAATCGCTATTTTTCTATATGAATTGTTTATCAAGTGGACGGGGTTTAGAGTTGAGGGGCGGAGCTTCTTCTAATCTTCTTCTCCGATTTTTATTCATCCATCCATCAAGTTAGAGGGGTGACTGCATTCAATTTCAATTTCATTCCAATTTATTTTTCACCGTAAATTAAACCGCTCTTATCTATGGGATTTTAGGGTATTTTTTCCAGTTTTGTACCTCGTATTGTAGCTCTTTCTGGTATTTGCTATCAAGACCACAACATCTGCGTAGAAAAGTATCCAAGGAGGTTCAAGTTTGAGAGGTTCCATCACGGCGTTCATCACAGTGATGAAGAGCAAGGGAGAGAGAATTGGACCTTGGTATACTCTAACCTTGATTCAGAATTCTTTCGATTGCGCTGCAGCTGTTTGCACGTGGCTTGAAGCGTCGTGGTAAATCAACTTTATCCACTGAACGTACTCCTCTGGCGCCCTGTTTTCCGTAAGGCT